AATTTGACAATAGAAAGCCCACCCGAGAACTTGCTAAATTTCGAAAGGAATAATCAGATAACGAAGCGTTGAGAGTGAACTTCGAATGATTAGCAACAACCCTTACCTCGTAGGTAGTGTCCCCGTCCTCTTTGATAACCTTGTTGTCCTGATAATTTGCCCATGCGTAAAAGACAGTAACCCCGATACTAGACAATATGGCTGAAATATGTTCACGATTAATAGCAGCCCAAGGAAGAGAGAATATGAAAGGTTGGGAAAATCTTGAAAAATTAACCAGAAATTGTGACGAGCACTGTAGAGGCACAGATGAAAGTCCGATGGCAAAATGCAAGAACAGCGAATAGCAATGCTGACGCTGAGAACACAACTGCTGACCCGCATCCAGACAGAGCTGCGATTTTCCAGCCTGCAAGGTGGAGAAATGACTATTTTCGTTACCTCTGCCCACCGGTCATTTTTCTCAGAGTTTGGATCCAAAGTGTGTAGCCTTTTAACATTGTCTACTTTGACACTTTCATGCAGCAATTACAATCGAACAACACGCAGTTGTTCGGCTTGATGGAAAATCTTCGAACCTCTTCGCTCTTTTGGGTTTTCTATTGCCCTTATCTGTTGAGGGGTTCTCTACACCGAATATCTGGCTTCAGCCCCGGCCCGGTATCTTTTCTGCTGAGCGGAACAGGTGGAGACCTCTAGTCGACGCCGTGCCCGAAAGGCTCAATCAACCTTTTTTTCGATAGAGTTTGTAATCAGACCTCAAGTGTCATCAGCTGCTATCTCAGGCATGATCCCAAGGAGTGATATCGCCCACGCACAATCTGGTGGTCAAATCCCGTTTCTATTTTTGACCACACAAACCGAACCTTCCATCTTTCCGAAAAGATTAATTAGTAACAAGCTCATCTTAGAAGATGAAAACATAGACTTTCAAATTGACCAGTCACCACAAGTAATTGTTTAGGTCACATCTGAAACCGAAAGCGAAGGTCCATCTCTAAAGCAGAATTTATTTACACCACGTATTTTTTATTCTTCACCAGTCGGATAGCTGCTCTTTCTTGTGTTGTAATTAGTCTGCCGCCTGTATCCCCTCCTTCAAATTTGGACGTTCTAAGTCCAGGAGAACAGGAGCTATAAACTTCCGGCCAAACACACAACCACCCCAGCATACTTCGTGCGTGCGACCACACAAACGAGCCTTACCGTAAAATGATGATTCCTTTTGAGAAGCAGGTACAGTTTCGGAAGGATACTGTGAATGGAGCTTACAAGATTGCAGAAGGAACTCACCTAGAAATAAATGTTGGTATGCATCGTTTTGTATGCGATTTTCGTCATGGTTGTGGTCGTAGAGATCTTCGGGATCGATGTAATAGTCGAATTTGTACACACATTGTAAAGGAGGAAGAAAAAATATGTCGAAAGGAGATCCTTGGAGGTCCCGCCTAAAAACACCAAAGACATCGTAATTGCTAAAGTATGACAACAGTTGGACATTCCGGTCCTTCGCTCATTTTCCTCTTTGACCTCATGTTTTGGTGCTATCACACGTAAAACTTCTGCTAGTATCAAAAACCTGACTCCCACATCGAGCTTATAAATACAGCGATATCCCGCACTGACAGCTAGGCAGATCTCTAGTATGTACTTACTTTAACATTTCTCCAAGATTTACCGTACAAAGAATTCATCAGGAACATATACGAGAGAAAGACTCCGTCGTGTTTCCTCTCTCACGGTCGTTTTAAATGTGACTCCTGATTATTGGGCACGAAATATAATTCTTATGCATCTTTTCCTCCTTATCTGCTATAGCCTTATCTGCTGTCACGGCACATTGCCCCTTGAATGTCAATATCCAGATACTTCTCCACTCCCTCATCGAGAAATTTGTAGTGTATGCCTCTCGTAGTAATCCTTCCAGCTGCAATTTTAGGAATCCGCTGTGGGGGATGTAGGGAGCGGTCCTCTACATCCACTACAGAGGAACAAAAATTGTTGAAAAATCCAGGTACCTGTACAAAGTTTCATAGTATTCCCTCGTCCGTCCGTAATCGAACGAGAAATCTCTCTTGCAGTCCAACCACAACCCATGCTGATGTTCCGTGCGTCCGTTCTGAGGAGCGAATCTTTTTCTTATTTTTTGAAGAAAATTGCTATTAATGCGAATACCAGGTTTTTCATAAATACATTTTTTTTTCTCCTGAAGTAATTCGAAGAAATAAGCCCAAGGTCGAGAAATAGGGAAAGTACCATATATTTACTAGAGTTTCAATTTTCCCGAAACGCAATATGCTTAGGAGAAGTATTCAGTGTTGATATCAGTATCAGGCGGCCTAAGCCGAGAGTGATAGAGAAAAATAGCATAAAGGACAAATAAGCACAAACTGGTTTCCCAAAGCACCCTCTTCGACTACCAGGCCTCTTATGTGCTTAGTGAATACTACACAAAAGGTAAAAATTCTGGCCCTAATTTTAGGTGAGTAATGCTGGCGTAAACGAAAATGTATGGTGGACAATTGCTTTCAGCATAGCTAGAGATGATGTTAAATGCGGAATGCCAAACTGGATGATTATGAATCGACAAGTGAAGGCAAACTGACAGGGTCCATTCAGCCAACGGGTAGAGAACACGTCTATGAAGGTGTGTGAAAATATATAATGAAAAATCAAGGAGCCGCTTCAAAAGAGGACCAAAAATCCCATGGAGCGTGCTTCATCAGAAATTTGGTATAGCACATTATGCTCTCCAGAAGATTAGCAGAATCCTTGACTGTGTGGGGCTGATTCATAGTTAGAAAGCAGAATGCCGGCAAAGTTATCTCAAAAAGCTCATGCCATCAAGATTCTAACGCAGCATACTCCATAATTCTGTATTTCATTATTATCGCTAGCACGGATGACTCCCTTTTTCTCTCACTAAATTTTCTTCGATTTTGGATAAAGTCAAGGCTTCACCAGTACTCAACCAACCTTCACATTAAACTGCTTTCTCACACAACCAGTTCCCCCTTATCGAACAAGTTTTCCTTGAGAGAGGAGGTATCGGTTGGTAACAATGTGGCTATCGATTTCTCTCAGATCAGTCAAGGTCCCAAAATTTGTTGATTTAGCGATTTCGATTCTCATGCTGCCGAACTCAGTGCACCACCAGGAATATGCCAAAAGCGAGAGGCGGTGTAAGCTCAGCAAAGATGAACTTCGATGATGTTCTCCGTGAAGGAAATACAAAGGCACGTGGGCGGCCTTACAGGATAGTACGAGTTTCTGGAAGTCAATTAACACATCTCCTTCCTAAGCAGGAGAAAGGAAAAAAATGTTCTATCATGGAAGACAGCGGCGGAATCGCTAGATATTGGGCAACGAAAAGAGCTGGGTCAAAGTCTTATTGTATGAGAGTAGAGGAGGATGCTCGCCTGCTCTTCGTTTACATTAGCGCAGTTGATGATGAAATTGGTTCTTGAACTCGGACCTATAATCTCGGAGTATCCATATAGGAAGAAGTGCGGGAAAGAGTACTATATAGGATGCAGTGACGGTTTAGAAGTCGTCTCCACTGTAAGCCACACCCAGAGGTAGACGAGTTCCGAAGACCTGGATAAGACTGCACCATTCAACCATGTAGGGGATATGTTGAAAATTCGAGCAGCTGATCAGAGAGAACAACAAAATTCACATAAAATAGCAACAACGACAGTTTTTTTTACGTAACTGCACAAACTGACCACCTCGTCCAAATATCTTTTTCCTGTCAATTTTGTTGGTCGTTATTTCGCACATTGAATTAGGTATCGAATGCTCTAATGGCTGAACTCACCTCTAAGTAGACATACTGCCACGACGGGCTGATCAGTGCGATCACCGAAAGAGTGAACGCAATGAAAGTGACGGTGAAGAACGTTGACAATGCCGCCTTACGACCGCATTTTGATACACCGCCATCTGCCATTTAGCCGAATGGCATCTGAAGCTGCGACACATTCATCAAGATCGGAATCATCAAAACAACCTAACGACAAATAATAGCATAAAAGAAGAACAGCGCCTTGAATTAAAAAGGTAAGTACGAGATGACGGCCAACAAACAATCCAACAAATACTTGATCCTGCCAGAGGATGTACAATATAATCTGTTGCGATAGCTCCGAAGCTCTGTCAAGAGAAAATTCACATCCTCTGTGGCATCAGAAAGATAGTTTCACAAGAGGAAGAAAGGAAACAAGAATTGTTGTTTCGAAGGAAAACTCATAATCAAGTGGAATTGCGTTTCAATCTCTGCTGAGGTGCTTTCTATAGAGTCCGTTTGCCGATTAGCAAAGCAACCAGAGTTTCTTTCTATACTATTCTAGTTTCTATAGCATTCTACAGCAGTCTGGACCAGTACACAAAGGCCCGAAAAATGCGTCGCGTATGAAATGGAGGGATTGCGGACCAGAAATGAGGACGTCAAGGCGATCATGCAGAAAGCGTCTGTCCAGTGCGAGGTACAAAATAACGCATAGGTGCGTTCTTTGAAGGCGATGGCGTAGAATCTCTAGGTAGGAGCCACACAGACTCAAAGCTTCACGGAAAAAGTCCGCGACTAGCTTCAAAGAAATGTTGAGAGGCATTACCAAGGAGGACTCAATCAAAATACTCGGGTAGGAGTAAGTGGCGAGGACTGATATGAAGAGCGTATAGTGAAACGACGAATTTGACACCAACAAAACGGAAAAGCTTCAAAAATACGGTAACACTCTGCTCATGCAAAATAGTGAACAAAATTATGGAGTGTAATAAACAGTAAACATATGCCTACATTTGAATGCACAACTCACGATAAAAATAGTTTTTGAGATTTCCTCATGGGATATATTCGAGGGCCTTAGTGTACCATATCTGGCGCTATCAGGTCGGAGAATGTCTTGCAATTATATAGTTAGGGCGTTGTAAAGGCTCAAAGATTGTACCTCGTGTATCATTGGACGAGTTTCACCTTTTTCCATCTCACGATATTGCTCAGTGTAATGGAAAAAAAGGAAGAATGCACCGAATTATTCTATAGAGCTTTCGTAAAAAAATGATGACAGAAATGGACCTGTCGAATGGAAAGTTTTTCTCGTAGAGGAATTATTGTCAACGTAACCATGTGTCATGTTCACAGAATCCACCCCCAAAAAAGTGATAAAGGAAAGTCAGATGGTGGTGATAACGAAGATCAAGCCCTTTCTGAAGGTAGATGAGTGACAAACAATCTTTCTCTACCCAGCACAGGTGAATTAAGTGAATTCATCCACCAGATATAATCTTATAGAGAATCGGAGAGCAGTATATCTTGCCAGGTGTCTATTCTTTTCGTTAAAAAACTAACTGGCTATTACCGTCAATTTAGGCTCATTGCAGTGCGTTTAAGTGATTTTTTGACGAATGCTACCTATAGGCCAGTAAGGTTACGCTGAGTGTGAATATCAGAAAAAGGGGTCTTTCAACAATTTTCATTGTATCTTAGCTTGTTTGTCCAGTTGAACCAATTTTTGCGTCTGAATAATGTGATATTTCAAATTTCCTAAATCTCAAGTGGCTTGAGGACGGAGATGAAATAGAACCGGGAGGTACTGATCTACACATAAATCCTGAAATGGGATCTCATGTCCAGACCGACTTAGGCCAATCAAGCCTTTGACCCCTTCATGAACTGGTGAGCAATTTTAGGGATTCGTTTGCACAGTTCATTCCTTAGTTGAAACGATTATTCATTTCTTCTTTAAAAGTTACGCAACGCACCGTTTTGTCGCGCTGTGGTTTTGAAAATTCTGAGAGAAAGAGGCTGCGCCCCGTTGTAGATTCAGAGTGAGATAATGTTTTCGATGGGTTTCGATGGGGAGTCGATGGGGAGTGGTCGAGTTTGCCGTCTTTGGAAAGTGAGTCAACTGCATAAGAAACAATAGAAAGGTCCAGTGAGTGGCGAAGGACAGCATTTCGGCTATAGGGTTCATGTACTCAGCAGAGAAACTGAGAGCATGTGTGTAGGATAGCAGCTTCAGTATCAAATGCATAGTAAAGGGGGGGGGGGCGAAAAAAAGTTGCCGACAAGAGCACAACGTTTTTGTAGAGTTCGAGCCTGAGTTCATAAAAACGGAACATGAAAAAGAAAAAGGTTCTCATTATGTGGCGTCAAGGGGTTAACAGAACAGGAACCACTTAATTAATCTGGTTTTCATATCTCATATCTGTAAATCTATTCAGGGAGTACATTCATTCCAGTGCAGTACATTCATACGTACAATACATACATACATACATACCTACATAAATAGATGCGTTACAACTAATCTTTTAGGTTTGATTCAGAATAGTAATGGTACAAAACCTTGACACAATCTCTAAACGAAATAATTCTGCTGGAGGAATGACTAGCCGGCAAGTCCTTTCAGGCATTACATCTCAAAACTGAACAAAAGAGAAAGATCAAAATGTGAGGAAAGCTGCATTACTGGTAAGAGTTGTGCACAGAATAACGAACTCCAGACTTCGATTTCCCAATATTTCGTGAATAGGGCTGTTTGGTCAAACAAAAAAATTCTCTTTCCAGCCTCAGGCAATACGGCGAACATTGTACGCCTCACGAACGAATACTACAAACGCTCTAGTTTTCAGCCTAATTTTGATCTTTCACAAACCGAATGCCAAGGAAATAGAAAGAATCTTTCGCTGGAAAAAGTTAATCCTAGAGTTACTCGTGGGTATGGAAGAATAAGCAAGCAGAGACCCTACAATATAAAACTAGCATAATATCCCGTGTCCGAGACATGTTATAACCTACGACTAGCATAATAGTTAGTTCTTCCATCCGAGAGCCCTCCCCAAGAATTTTCAATCATTTACGAGTGCAGATCTATTTCTCTCTGGCATCCAGTTCAACGAAAGCTTTTATGATTTGAATGTCATCCCAGTCAACGCAATATTGAAGCTTCGATATTGGTAGTGAACATTCACTACCTGGGTTGACTGGGTGCTTTCTGATGTTCGAGGTATGTAGTGATCAGGTAAAGTATGGTCCGGCTAACTGAAGGTGATTTAGTTGATGGAATCCATCCAACCACGTTTTATTTGGAGGATGGTTCATCAGAAACTGTCCTTTAACAGTCGCAGAATAGCCCTCATATTAGGAAACGCTTCACTTTGAAATATCTTCAGGCAAGTAGAAAACACTTAAAATGCTAGGCATCGAGATAAAGGAGTACAATCTGACCACATTCAAGAAGAAAATGTGAAATTTCGAGAAAAATAAATGTTCCCAAATGTTCTACAAGTGTTTCCTCATAATTAAACTTTGCTTCTACACCACCGCAACATTTGGTCCGAATTCTGAGTTACTGGAAGACAGGTTTAAATTCACTTAACTTGGGTGAAGTGGGAGGGTCATATTAATTGGCAGAAAGTCCTGAAACTAAGAAATATACATCTGGATCCTTTCACGATTTCTTCATGATCATCAACATGCAGAATAACGGGTGAGACATTATGGAGAACAACCAAGCGGACTACTGGCGAGTGATTCTGCGGTATTTGTCAGAAATACAGGCAATGTGGAAGACATACAGGTAGAGGTAATGCGACCGAAACGACATAATTGCCGAATCCGTCAAAAATCCACTACAAAATTCCGGTCTTGTCCAATCGATAATAATTTTAGGTTCATTTCAGCTACATTTCTAAGTGATATTGTACTATACAGTCCTTGCAGCTCTCCACCTGTTGACCAGGCATTTCGTTTTCCGAGGTCATTTTTGTGTGTAGTTGCACTCGATTGATCGCGATGAATGGCGAACTAGCCAAATTTGAAAAGAATGGTAAGAAGGGAGAAGAGCAAAGCGAAAAAGTGCAAAGTCAGTTCAAAGACGGACGCAAGATTACAAGAGAAAAGGCAAAGGATAATGTAGTGGGCTGGGTAGATAGGCAAGCAGTGCACGTCAAGAACGAAGGCGGAAACGCATAAAGCAGGGCAGGCACTGAAGGGAAGAAGGATGTTCCAAAACATACACAAATCACATAAGCCATTAAGAGCCTCGGTGTGTAAGGAAGAAGAACACGGTGCACCGAAAACACAAGTAAGGGTGTTCAAGTCTCGTCCGAAACTAAAATTTTGCCTTCAGATCGCCAACCATGTGAGATAAACAAATCATTTGCGTGAAATCCTCTCGTTATTTTCATTTTTCTAACCTCAAAATTTCACTACATCAACATACCCGCAACCAAATCGTAGAGATGCGCTGACCAGACTTCGAGTTCTTTTGGTTATCTGTCTCGAAGAATAGAATTCAAAGTTAGCAAGCGGCTAATTGTAAGATAAGGGAAGATGTGGTTCACAAAGCAGAAGTTCTGTGGTAGAACGATTCGGTTCGATCGCTTATGTTTAGTGCGGAGATTTCTTCCCACGAGAAAACAAATCACATAATAAAGTATTTCTTGATATTAGATTACAATTTAACACATAGAGTAGAAGGGGCTTTCAAAAGTGCCGTTCACGCAAGATTTTCAAAAAAAAGGAATGCAGTAGTGATGTAATAATGATGGATATAAAAATAACTTTTGATTTGGATTTGTCACCTATAACTGGTTCATATAGCTTTACAGCGAAATGCGGTGTCCCCATGATACAAACCTCATAAACATCAAAGTCCGGAAGCACTCGGGGCCCGACTTTTGACGAAATTGTGCAACTTTTCTATTTTCTATTTTTAGCCTACAGGTGCACGGCGAGTGGAATAGTGCAAACCCGTGGGTTATCTGGAAAGTATTTCAATGCAGAGATGGGAATCTTCTGGACCAGAATTCAAAAGAGTGGGAGCTCAGATGAATGAATGAGACAGAATGTGAAGAAACACACGAGCATGGTATGCGAATGTCATACCTACGCATGCAAAGGTCATGAATCGAACCGGAAAAGGGCGGTACGTGTGAAGGTGT